GGGGGGGGGGGGGGGATTGAGTTTATTTTTTAGATGTGTTACATCTTATTTGTAGATCTTTTGGCTTTGTTTCCTTCCCCCAGAACAGCAAATAATCGTATTTCTGACATTCGGCAGTTAGTTATAATCAGCACCAACAAGTATCATTCCTAGTAAGTGTTTAACTCTGAGGAGGGGGAATACCCAGAACCACCACTTTGGTGACTTTGCTTTACTGGCCTTAACTTGTGGCCTATCAAGAGGCTCATCACTGCTCAGTGTGACTTGTCAATAGCCAATGCTTGGATGCCCTGTAAAAAACATCTGAGCTAAAAGAACAATTTGCCGAAGGCTACCAGCTGAGCTACAAGGCTGCACAAGGATTTAAAAGGAAAGATTAAAAAAATAATGGATTTAAAATCAAGCCAGCCCCAGTCAAATGCCTGTGGTTCTCTCTTCTCTTGACAATTTCAGCTGCATGACACCAACAGCTGGAAGGGAGAGAAAGAGCAGAGCTAAATTTCTCTTTGCATACAAATTTATTTAGAAACTCTTCAGTGATTGCTCTTCCCTTTCTTCCATCCCATTGTTTCTCAGGCTTCCCCCTTATTTCCCCCAACAGGACTATCTGGGAGGGGACAGATCAGTTACAGAGGACTTTTAAAATTAGGACATGGGCTGCAAGTTGTCCCATTCTTCATATAACCACCAAGGGCCTCAGATACTATGTCCCAGGAATAAACAACAATGAAAAAGGGATGGATGTCCATATGTACAAAAGATGTGTTGATAAATAAAATGAACAAAACTGACACTTTAACGCTTTCAGTAAGTGAGCTTCGCAAGAAGAGTGAAAACTGGAGAAGGACATATGCTAATTTGCCTATTAATAAAAACAAATGCTTTGCTTCCGAGATTCCACATCCAAAAACCTGAATCTTACACAGGGAATATGTTACATCACCGAGAATTCAGTATTTTTGGAAGATTTCTTCCTTCAATGCCTTGAGATTTGTTGCTCCAGGACCAAAGCCTGATGTTTAGCTAACATTTTTTCACATTATTTTACTGTCCTACCCCAACCCTGGTGCTATCCTTCCTATAAAATATAGGCACAATTGTTTATAGGAAAATGGATACAAATGAGAAAAAGAGCAACATGGAAATGGAGAGGAAGACTACTCATTGAGGAGCTGGTGCAAAAACTATAGCTGAGTGATGTGTAGCATTATTCAGCTTTGAGTCACCTTTGGACATGGAAAAGGATATGGAGGCTGTACCCCCCAAAGTCAACAGGGCCAGGGCAAAACAACATTTAATTTATATTCATCATTACAATTACTATTGTTTATTGTTCCCTGTCAATGTAATGACTTTCACTTTCTGTCACATTAAATCTACCATTCAGCACTAATAGCTTAGGAAAGTGCCTCCAAGATTTCCAGAGGCTGCATTCAACTCTTGGACGGTGGATTGAGTCTCTCTATGAGCATAGCCAGGGAAGAAGCAAAGCTTAGGACAAAGCAAATGTACTTGGCCCACTGAAGACCCCAGATTCATCCCCCAGTCTCTCAAAATATTTTTAGTAGTGTTTAGAAAAACTTCTGGCAGAGATTTTGGGAAGCTGAGATCCAATTAGAATTCAGCGGACAAGATTCAGTGTAAGGCAGCTGTGCAGATTGTACATCCATAGCCCAGGTGGCTCTGCATCGATCTCAGTGCAGGGCCATCTCGACCTGGCCTGCATTGACTCGGGGCAGAAGAATGTCCCAGAAAGGCTGCACTCTGGGATCTTTTTATCTGGGGCAGGAGGGTTTGGGGTGTCTGTACTCTGTGTCTCACGGTACCATTATCTTCTTCTGCAAACGCTGGCAGCTGGGGCATATGCCAGCTGATGGGGCCCGCTGCTTCAACTCCTCCAAAACGGGTGCCATCGCATGCTCAACCATCTGTCGCAGCATCTCTGTATTCACAATGCTGTAGCTGTGGGTGGGAACCAGGTAAGTAAAAAAAGAAAAGAAAAGAAAAGAAAAGAAAAGAAAAGAAAAGAAAAGAAAAGAAAAGAAAAGGGGATGCCATTTACACAGACACTTAATGTAGAAAGTATGATTGGTTTAAGTCTTGGAAGAGGGAGAAACAGCCCAGATATAGTGTCATGGAAACTCCCCCTATTCAATGCCAGAAGAGTGCAATTTTCTGCACTAAAAATAACGTAAATGTAAGACATCTCTGAAAGTGAGCTTATTAGCATTAAGACAATAAAGAAGCGCTAGTTGAACTCAATATAGCTTTAGGACAAATTCCCCTTTTTTAGGACTGGGGAAGGGGTCTCAAAATAGTGTTAGGAGGAGAAAAGAAATGGTAGGGAAGAGGAGAGGGGAGAGGAGAGGAGAGGAGGCATGTGTGAAAAATCTAAGCTGGAAAGAGAGTTTTAAAAAGCAGCCATTTAAAACCCAGCTCCTCTTGATCCTTCTAGACATGCATGCCAATAACATGAGCTTTAGCAACTTGATTTTTTCAAGTGAATGAAAACAGATGTTCTCAAGAATCTAAAGCCAATGCCAGATTCTGGATTTTGTACAAAACTGCATCTTCAGCAGCAGCCAATTAACTGCTCGGGTGAGTAGTCAATTTACTTGCTTCTGTAATACTGAACCTACTCTTCTGTGAACTGAAAACTGCAATTACTTTCTAGTCCTTGAAAGGAGATCTATAATATTGAGTCTGTATTTCTGGCTGACGTACTGTTCATGGACTGCTTAAGCAAGAATTTTGGGTAGTCCTTGTTAGAAAAATCTTAAGAGCTTGTAGCTTTCCTCATACATCATGTCCATCCAATAAGACAATATTTCTCAACCTTGTCAACTTTAAGCTGTATGGACTTCAACTCCCAGCATGCTGGCTGGGAAATTCTGGGAGTAGAAGTCCATGCAATTAAAGTTGCCAGGGTTGAGGAACACTGCAGTAAGCTATGACAAAGACAGGCATGCTCAGAGTCCCCTCAGTTAAGCTGTGTCATCCGGGGCACCCAGGGGACGTGCTTACTTTGTCACTGCCCTGCCCTCTAGCACAGCACTCCCTCCAAGATTCAGATGGCCCTGACCCCGTGTTTCGGAAGGCTCAAGACCTGGCTTTTCTCCCAAGCACTGGGTGGGGAGGTTTGGTGGGAGGTGACTGTTTTTGGATTGGTTTTGCTCGGATGAAGTTATTTTGGGTACGATATGTTTTATTATATTTTAATGTTGGGGGTTATTATGCATTGTTTTTTACTGGTGTACACTGCCCTGATTCATGTGTCAACTGGGCAGCTATTAAATTGATTTAATCAGTCAACCTCTTGGGCACACCCCTTCTGAGATAAGCGAGTCACTGGAAGACCTCCTGCAGCCCACCAGCAGGCTGGGGGGTCAAGCAGCAGTCCAGGCCCACCTTTGGCTTATGGCTCAACGTGTGAATGTAGCCAACAATGCTTTATTTAATAAATTACCATTAAGCAAATCACTGCTTAGAGGCTGCATGACTTTGGACTATGTGAAATCAGGGAAATCAGACCTAATTTTGCCCTAACCTCCACACCCTTCCTGAGCCTAGCCTTTTGGTTCTCACTGTCAGGTTGGCCTGTATTCCTTAGTTTTGACCCCAAGGTTTGA